TTTTTTTTTTTTTTTTTTTTTTCCCAGCACCAGAGATCAAACTCAGGACCTTATGCTTGCAAAACAGGAATGGTACCACTGAGCCAAATCTCTGGCCTTCCCCATTCTTTATATTGGCTCTGCTTGGGCAAGTTAACTTTTCTACACTTCATTTTTCTCATCAGTAAGATGGACTTAATAATTGTACCTAACATATGTGAGGATCAAATAATTAATGCACATAACTGTAGTACAGTCTTACATAAATAATGTTAGCTGTTATTACTGGGCTGTTTTAAAATAGTGAACAAATGTATAGAATGTGCCCCATAGTAATTATAACAAAACGATACCTATTAGCTTGTTATTATTAAGCTGCTAATGACTGTTGATTATGAAAAGATTAACACAAAGTGACATCTCCATTTAGATGTTTTATTAAATAGAAACCAATGTAATGGCTCAGTGGACAGCTTCCAAGGGGAAACTTACTGAACTATAATGCACACATTACTTTGTCTGCAGTGTAGTACCTTCCAGAAGAAATGCTAAGCTATGAACGACATTTATTTCTGTATATTTACTTTGGCATTGGAGACAAGAAGCGAGGCAACTGCAAGAGACCCTCCTATAACATTTTTTTTTACCTTCAGCTGTTCCTCAGTGTGATGATATTCTGAATTATGGAGGCAACTCCTCTGCACTTGAGTTCAGAAACAATTGGAAGCAGTTATATGTGTTGCCAAAATTAAATTAATAAAGTTAGGGATCCTGAAATCTTACTGCTTACTTTTAAAAAGAGGCATCTGAGCCAGAAGGGGCTATCACGACTCACCCTCCTTAGAGCTTAGCCTGGCACTGTCAATAGCAACCCGGACTCTAAGGCGAGGTAGCACGTTTTTGCTCCTCAGCACTGCCTTCTATTATCGTGATATACCATTAATCTATTTGGTAGCACACTAGTTTGACCCGTGTACACATTCTTAATTTTTGTATTTCTGAGACAGAGTCTCACTATATATTCCAAACTGACCTTGTAGCCAGGCTATTCTTGAACTTGAGGCAATCTTCCTGCCTCAGTCTCCCAAGTGCTGGGACTGGCGTGCGCCACCATGCCCAGCTCTTATTTTATTTTACATATATGTCTTGTTAGAACTAGATTAGAAAATCATACCTTCCATATTCCACAGCAACAGGGCTATCTATATTATCATGTATGTGACATACTCTTCGCATAAGGTGGGGAAATATCCTGGAATGAGAGGAAGTATTACCTATGGATTTGGCAACCGACAGCCCAGAGCTGAGATTCTACTTAGTAGCTGTAGGATGCTGGGCATATTATGTAACCATGCTAAGCTGTAGTTTCCCCTCTGTAAAAAGAGAAAATAAAACCAACAAATAGAATCGCTGGGTGGATTAATAACTGACATACACTAAGATAAAGGTTCCTATTTATCTCTTCATCCGTCCATACAACTTTCAGTATTAAAAAGTTCATTTAGCTTTAACACAAATCACAGAGAGATACAGAATCCTATATTTGGTTTGCTAGGGGCTGATATATTGCTTGGTAAGTAAATACGGAACTACAGGCTTATGATTTCTTCTGAAACCCCCTTTCCTTCTGACCCTTGTTTAGTTTTACACATTCCTGAGGCAGCACACAGGTTTCTCTCCCTCTCTGAAGAAAGCACTCCTGCACTTAGTAACACTTCAACCAAAATGTTGTGTCCTACGGTACTAGGACAAAGATTAGTACATTCATTCGTAGCTTAACATTTTTTCTGGAAGGTACTACACTGCAGACAAAGTAAATGTGTGCATTATAGTTCAGTAAGATTCCTCTTGGAAGCTGTCGAGTGAGCCATTACATTGGCTTCTATTTAATGAAACATCTAAATGGAGATGTCACTTTGTATTAATCTTTTCATACTCAACATGTACAGATCATGGCCTCAAAGAGCTTAGTTTTTTTTTTTTAATCTCATTTATAATACATTTTGTAAAGAGGTTAATTCCAGGAATGTAAGCCCTCAATTTTTTTTTTTTTTTTTTTTTTTTTTTTTTTTTTTTTTTTTTTTTTTTTTTTTTTTTTTTTTTTTTTGTACCTGGGATTGAACTTGGGACCTTGTGCCTCAGGTGATGGAACCACTGAGTTAAATCCTCGGCCCCTTCAATTTTTAAGTCTACTCTGTTAAGTGATCAAAAGGCTTAGATCAAAACAGACACAAAATATCCCAATAGTGAAAAGTTATAATAGGATCAAAAGCCCCTATAGAAACCCAGGTGGGGGCAGGGACCTAATTCAATACAATGTGGGGTGGTTGTGACCCAAAATAACCCTAAACTAACAAACAAAATGAGTTTTTGGAGTAAACAATTCTTTAACTAGCCTGGAACATTCGTGGGAGAAATAGCATTCTAGGTAGTCATGTGCACTGTGGGAAGTAGCTCAGTACGTGTAGGTTATTTGCTATGGCTAGAACTTAAGACATGTGGGGAAACAGTAGAAAATGAGACTAGATATACAGGCAAAAGCGCATGAGTAAGAATTCTTGCTAAGGAGTCTTAAACCCTGTAAGTCAGTAACTCTCAAAGAGGTTTGGCAGAGGGAAAATGCAAGATGATAGATCCACTTAGGTATAAATATTCAACATTTTTTTAATTATTAGTGTCTCTTTTCAGGCATGTATTATGTATATATTTGTGTAGTACATATATACGTGATTGGTGTCTAAATACAGTATGTATACATAGGGTAGGAACACATGTTCTCCTCCCTTTCCTCTATAGGGATAAATGACTAAAGAAGTGTGGAAAAAAAAAGTGTGGACTCCACCGCCATGGATAGGGTTATAGCAGAGAAGTTAAGTGAGTAGATCTGTGTTTGAAACAATACTTTCTAAGGTAGAGAAAAAGAACAGAAGCAATTAAAGGAGAGAAAAAGAAAATAATATTAACAGAAGTAGGTGGGGTGGAGGACCAGTATATCAGTACTGGATATTTCAGATCTTAAGTATTTTACTATTTATTTTATTACACTATTTAGTAATATTTTATTACAGATGTCCTGTGGGAAGCCAGCCATGGCCCACTGGCTTTTTGAAAGACAACATTTGTTCCTTTTTAAGGACTGCACGTGTTAAACTTGTTTTGACCCTGCACGGGAGAAACTCGGACAGCCCCGAGGGCCGGGCGAGGGGCGTGGGAGGCGGGCGGGGCGCGCTGGGACCGCTGTGCAGAGTGCGAGC